GCATCTCAGTCTTTTCTGAGGGGCTCTCTGCATCTTGAGACACGTTCAACACTTAACCAGGCAACTGGAAGTCTGTCTTCGTCTCCACTTACTGTTCGTATAGATCTTCAAGGTCAGCAGCAGTGAGAGTTCAAGGTGTTCTTGGGTCTGAGAACCTCCAGCACCCCGTGGATGTGCGTGAGCTTCCAGGTGCTGAGCAGCATGTCGAAGCTTCTCCGCATCCTTGTGTATGCTGAATTCTCCAGCTTTTCCTCTTAATCTTCTTGTTAGTCTATTGTTTGCTGTAACTGTTATCCACCGCCTCAGGGAACTTCAGAGTTAAGGAATTTGTCTGTAATTATTTTCAACAATGCCCTCCTGGGAGGAGAAGGCATGTGTGTGCTCCAAGTCAGGGACAATACAAACTGCTTTGCAAATGCAGGCTTTCAGTGAGACGATGACAATTCTTTGAGAAAAGGACTTTGTAAAAGCTCTGTTCTTATTCTGTTCCCTCCAGTGTGTGCCAGGCTGTGTGGGGACTCAGCCTGCTGGTTGTCAGGGCTCTGTCCGTGGAGCTGGAGAATGGGCAAGTTAAGCCACCCAGACCTCACTACTCTTACTGAGACCCGGCTGGTTTTTGTGGTTTAAACAGCCTCGGGTGGCCACAACCCTTTGTTCAAGTTTCAGCATTCTGAAAATGGCTTCTTTGGTTGTATGTGTCAGTAAAAAGTGAATTTGCGAAGGTTCATTCTTTGCCATTTTGGCCGATGTTAACCTGTAGTTCTCCGAATGAAAAACCAGAATAAGGCTGCTTCTGAAAGTTTCAAAACTTATCACAGGGCGCGTACTTCTCCTGGGACAGGAAGACAGGACAGTCTGGCCTATTTCTGTTTTGCCGGGAGTTTTTAGTTGCCTATGTTTTCGCCCATTCAGAATAATGATAGACCTTTATTTGTATCTCATGGTACAAATACCACGGCTACTGCCCCTCCTTAAATGACAGACTTTTATTTGATTTCCACTCTTCCGATTATGCTGCTACATCGGTGCCTGTGTGAGGCTGGGTTGTCTACAGAAACAAAACCAGTGGCACTCTCCTATGTATAAGAAAGACCTTGATAGCAATAAGTGATCTTATATCAAGAAGGCAGCCCAGCCCAGCCCAACTTAAATCCATGGAGCCAATGCTAGCCGGAGTCCTCTTCAGACTCACACAGCTGTAGGCCAACGACACAGAAGGATACAGCAGTATACAGGAAGTCCATGGGCCAGCAGCTGCAAAGCTGAGTGGACCCAAGTTCAACAGAAACATGGCAGGGTGCCCATGGCTCTCAGGGCCGATCAGCCCATGTGGGGCTTCCCCTGGGGGAAGGCACAGAGTCCCAGCAAGCAGGGAGGCAACTGGGCAGAGAGAGAGAGGAGTTGCTGGTTTCTTTCTTATAAAAAGGCCACACCCCCAAGGAGGCAACACCAAGCTCCCACTTGATGGACAGGTTGGACTGCACCCCCACTGCCACACAGGACCCTGAAGTTGACATAAAATCTCGCTGCTACAGTGCCTGAAACCAAAAGGCATTTGTTCTGTGGAAGTCTGTGACCTGCAGTTAGGTTCCTAATTCCATCCTTAACCTGGAAACAATCGGAATGCCATCTTGAGTGCACTCACACTCACACACTCACGCACACTTACGCACATCTGACCCCTGAACTGTGAAGATGGCCAGCACTCATCCTACCGAGGTGAGGAGGGGCTGTAGCCCTGGTCAGTCTCTCTGATAAGTTTGGGAAGACAGAAGGAGGTAGGTTGCTTACGAAAGACAGGTAGGTTGATTGGTGCAGACCCAACCAAAGACTTAGGGAGCACAGCCAAGAACTAAGGCATGGATACAGGGTGATTACCATTTTGGGGTCCTCCTTCATCCTGGCTTGTTCAATCAATAAAAAAAAAAAATCTCCTGACTATCATGACCACAAGTCTTGGATCTATGATCTTTGGAAGAGCCATAGGTCGTCATTAGCTTATCTATGGAAGGATGGAAACCTCCAGTGGTTTTGTCCACCTGCCTTAGGTCTTGTATTGTTCTTCTGACCGGACAGACATAGCTTTGATGGTGTATCTGTGTCTCCCCTCTCTCCTCTCTTTGCCGCACCTGCTGAATCAAATCCGCACTCCTCATTACTACAACTGGCCAGTCATTTCCCCTAGGTGCTGCCTATTTCATGATGTTCCCTAAGGTTGTCTGTCCTGCTGCTTCCAGCTGCCCTGGCTGCCCTCCAGGCCTTCTGCATTGTCAACTTGCTGGGACTTTCTGTGACAGCGCTCTCTTTTCTGGATGCCACGTCTTCCTCTCCTCTTGTGTCCCTGCTTTTTCTCTCTTCCCGGCCACATTTCGATGGCAGGCAGCGTCTGAGCTTTACATTTCTGAAGACGTCGGTTCACTCTCGCATTCGTAAGACCCTGTTGGGTCTAGAACTCTAGAATGGAAGTCACAGTCTCTCACCACTGCCTCTGGCGTTCAGTACTGTGCCCTCGAGAAGTCTACTTCCAGTCTGATGTTCAGTCACTGTGGGCCAACTCATCTCCCTTGTGCCACTTGTTTTACACACGTTCGTCATCAGTGATCGGCTTCCGTGTCATACGGTCGAGGAGGTAGGGCTGGTGCTTGTCCACGTCACTGGGTACTCGGCGAGCTCTTTCAATTCTGTCAGGCCTTTGGAGGATGACACGTGCATCCTCCACATGGCTTCGAATCAGCTTCTTGGACTCCCGTCCCACAATCATTCATGGGCTGATGTGAATTACCTTGCCCAGTGGCCAGTGGATTATCCCCCAGCTTTTGATTTAGATCACATCACAGCTCTGCTGGTCAGTGGCTCGTCCAGCAGGAAGCGTGGCCCTCAGTCAGACGTGTTCATTTAATAGCCTGACAAGATGGGACTGTGTCTGCAAACGGACTGATTGTAAAAGTCGCCAGACAAGGGGATGGTTGGGCGATGTGGGGAAAGGGAGCCATAGCAGTTCCAGCAATCCTCACGTGTTCAGGCCCCCAGATGGGACCACGAGACCAACTCTCCTGGCTTTGTCCAGGGTGTGAAGATCAGAGTCTCCTTTGGGAGGGAGGGTTCCTTGGACTGACTTCTGAGCATCCTTGATCTCTGCAGTCTGGGAAGATTGGTACCTCTGTGGTTGTTTTTGTTTTTGAACATTTTATTGTGGGTGTGAAAGTGTTTTAAACAACCTAATAATAACTACACGACAGTGCAGGCACTTTCACATATGTATATACATATATATATGTGTGTATCATATATATATACATATACATATATATATATATATGTATTTTCATCCCCTAGTAGATTAAGGTGGGGAATGAGTCAGACCCTCGTGTGCAGGCTCCACAGGTGGTCCCCCCACGAGACAGAGTGCAGGCACTCAGTGGATCATAGCCCTCGATGTGCTGATAGACACTCTCGGTGGCTATTTTACCTTGTGAGAAGATGAGAGCTTTTTGTCTGGGCTCTAACCCTGCTGCTTATTATTAAGGTGCTCCAATCTTGGAAAAGGTTATTTATACATCGCTGAACCTCATGCAAATATGTGGAGAGATATTTATCTTGGAAAAGGTTACACCTCCTTCTCAGAAGTAAGACCAAAGCAAACTCCTTACATCCTCCTGAGAGGTGAGACCAAACAAGCCAGTTACCACTAAGTCCCATGCCAGCGCGGGGTGAGCCCACGAGGGTTGGGGCAGAACTGTGCTCTTTCAGGAGCCTCTGAGTGGATTCAAACTGCCAACTGCTTCGTTAATAACGGAGCCGTTGTTTACTGAAGAAGTCATGTCATCTGTCCTATAGAATTTTCTACAGTCTAGATCTTCCTGATTGAATCCACATGGTGTCCTCTGCCCCTCTCCTGTAGAGACCGGGAGCCAGAGCCCTGTGTTGGTCAGATCCGGGTTCAGTTTCTTGCTACGAGAATTGTCCCCAGGAGAAGTTGTATTTCTCCTTCTTCTCGGGGATCATGTAACATCTCACACCCCTTCAGCGGTGTGAAGCTTTGTCTGGGGCCTCAGCTGTTAGCAGCCTTCCTCAGTGGTCAAAAGTCCCTCGGCCTCACACTTCATGATCTAGCAGCCATTGATGAGGACTGCCTGGGGTCACAATTTCACTCAGGGTGACACCACAGTGATGCTTTATGGAAGAAGAATGTCCTCTCACCAGCTGTGTGGTTGCCCGAGGAGCAGACATTGATACAAGAAAGGCAAACGTTTTGCTCGTTTTCAGAACAGTGGGTTGGCTTCTTAGCATTGCCCAAAGGCGGTCCGTGGGGTTCTCATTTTCCTGTCCCTGTGAGCCAATGGATGTTCACGTCTCTGACAGGGCTCAGTTCCTTCCGAGGTGCAGCTGGAACCCTGGGTTCTGCAGGGGCTGCTAGTTCTCCTGCTACCATGCCATGCGCTCCCAAGCTCGGCGTGTGCACGTTCTGCTGCGTATCTGCAACCAGCCGTTTATCAAAGCGTCTCGGGCCCTCTTGTGGGGGATGGTAAAGCAAACCCTCTGGGCTCTGGGGGTGGTCATTGGTCATTTTCTTTTAGTAGCTACAGCTAGAATACACACACACCATTATATATATATGTATATATTCATATATATAAAATAGTATTTCATATTATATATATATGAAATACTAACATGAACTTATTGTATACGTGTATGAATACATGCAATGAATTCATGTGAGTATTTCCAATTCAAAATTGGGATGATAGGGATTTTTAACTTAACTTTTATTTTATATTTGTATCTCTTCTCTGGCACTGAAAATCTTAGCTCCTAAGCTCCGTCGAAGGAGCCCCAGTACCATGGTGGTCAGCAGTTCAGAACTACCTGCTGAACCTCAGGAAAAAAGAGTGGGGAGACCTCCTACTCCCTCCCCCCAAAAAGCCACAGTCTCAGAAACCCACAGGGGCGGTTCCACCCTCCCCCCCCCAGGGCTGCTATGAGAGATCGACTCAACGGCAGCGAGCGTGGATTCTGGGCGCGCACATGGTGAAAAGACGGACTCCTAGTCAAAAGGTTGGCTGTTCAAACCCACACAGAGGTGCCTCTGCTTCTGAAAGGCCACAGACTGGAAGTCGCTGGGAGCAGTTCCACTCTGCACACCCACGGGGGCCAGCAACAGCCACCACAGTACAACAACACACAACACAGTACAACAACAACACACATTGCTACTTCAGCTCTGACTCCTAGGGACCCCACGTAAGACAGGGTGACCCACTGCCGGGTCCTGCCCCATCCTCACACTGACCGCTGTACCCGAGCCCATGGCTGCAGCCACTGTGTCCATCCGTCTCCTCGAGGGCCCTCCCCTCGTGTGCTGCCCCTCCACTCGACCAAGCACGATGTCCTTGTCCAAGAGCTGGTCTCCCTGACAACACGTGCAAAGTAGGTGAGTGGAAGTCTCGCCACCCTCGATCCTAAGGGCATCTGGCTGTCCTTCCAGGACGGATGGTTTCTTTGGCTTTGTTTGTCTGGTTGGTTTCTGCAATCCCCAGTGCGCTCCATATCCTTCACCAACACTGTAATTCAAATGCACCGATACTTCTCCGGTCATCCAGTTTTCCCACGCAGGTGAGTTGATTGAAAATAGCATGGCTACAGTCAGGCATGTTTGTTTTTGAATAGTGTAAAGCGCTCGTTCACTGTAGATTTGCCCAAGGTGATGTCCAGATCATGGGTCCAACGTTAGGACTAGCAATACTATTACTGAGGACGCTTTGTGCTGAGGTGGCTGGGTGCCATCGGGGGATTCACAGAGAACAGTGAGGAGTTCCCATTAGCCGACTACCTTTGTGCAATTCACCCGCTACTGGTTCTGACTCAGAGCAAACGCCTGGGTCGGAGTGGAGCTGCCTGGTAGACTTACCTAGATCATGACCTTCCCAGGAGCCAGACCTGTGCTCCCACAGACCCTGGGTGGATCCAAAGCACCGGGCTTTTGGTCGGCAGTCACGTGCCTAACCTCTTTGACAGCAGTTAGATGACAGTCCTCAGACACGGTGTCCTCTGTGTGAGTCCGTCACCCACCTGATAGACGAATGGCTTTCTTTTCTTTTTTTTGCGGGGGTGGGAGGTGTTAGAAAAAAAAATCTCACATTTTCAATTACAGAAAAAAGAGGGGTGGAGAATAAGTGGAACTGTGTCCCTGATTCCTGTCAGAATGAACTGAAATGCTCCGGGTGAGGGAGACACCGGACATCTCAGGGGGGACAAAAGCTGAGGGCCGGCTCCTGTGACCGTCCTTCTCCAACGGGCCCCAGGCAGGGAGGGCCGAGGGAGAGGAGGGCGGAGCACGGCGAGGTGCCGGGTGGGTTCCGACGGCTTCCGTGGGCGAGCGTCACCGTGAGATGCGTCATGAGATGCGTTAGGTTCCGCAGCCATGTATGAGAGTCGCGCTGACACTAAGTGTGTGGTCTTGGACGTGTGTGCAATCCAGACCCAGCATCCTGGGAAAGTTGGAAATCCGGTGAGAAGACCCCGCAGAGCTGGCCGTGAGCGCACACTGTTGGAAAACGGGCCACACGCTTGCCCGACCCAGCGTGGCCCCGCCTTCGATGTGTGAGACAGACAGACAGACACATCCACCATCTCTGGAGCACCACGAAGCCAGCTGTGTCAGTACATGGCAGGCACGTGGCGCACAATAGCTCCCTGATTCCACACCAGCATCTTAGGAAACAGGTGCCCTCCTCGACACATGGTAACTGTCACCTGCTCGGTCGCTCGGTAGCTGTGTGGCTGTCAGGGGTCAGTGAAAGCTGCCCTTAAGTGTCTCCGCTTCCGTCTCGACAATGGGGATCCTGGTGGGACCGCGCTCGGGTGGTTGTGGGGAGCTGAGGGGTTGGCTCACCGAAGGTCAGCCCAGGGCCTGACAGAAGGCTCAGTGGGGTGCCGTATGACATGCCCGCAATAACCGGGCGTGCTCCTCCCCCCACCCCACCCCATCTCTCCTCAATGCGAGAAGCTGTGCAGGGGGCTGGCACCCTTCAGCAATGGCGACCAAGCGGGCGGAACCAGTCACGATCATCAGCCTTCGGAAGTTGAGCATGACAGCCCCAGAACCACAGCCGAAAGGTAAGCGACCGGCCATCTCTGAACACCCCCCAGCCCCCGCACCTATACAAGTTAGGTAACAGCCCGACTCTCCAACACCCCCCCCCCACCCTCGGAGAGCAGTTCTCCCGCACGCCGCGCTCCCCCCCCCCCCCCCCCATGGGACCCCTCGGGTCACTAAGCTCCCGCACTCTGCGCTTCCTGTCCTACCCAGAGACAAAGACCTTCACCGTGGAGGATGCCGTGGAGACCATCGGCTTTGGACGTTTCCACATCGCCCTGTTTCTGATCATGGGCAGCACGGGGGTGAGTGTCCCAGCGGCTGGCTCACACCCCAAGGCTGTCCTTGTGGCTGGACACAGAGTTGTCCCCTGACCCCCAGCCTTGGTGGTCCACCCGAGGGCAGCGGGGTGTGAACAGGAAGAAGAATGCTGGGAGGGGGATAACCCCAAATTCATTTCCTCCACTTTTCGCAGGTGTGGTCTGTTCAGGGCAGGTACATAGCTGTGTCTCTATGTCCTGGGGATTCAAGACTCTTTTTGCAGGTGGTTTAAGCCAAGGTCTTGGGGAAAGCAAACAAGCATCGAGTTGATTCCAACTCGGAGCGATATCGTAGGACTGCTCCTGAGGGCTTCAGACACTCTATAACGCTTTGTTGGAGTAGAAAGTCTCATCTTTCTCCCACAGAACGGCTAGTGGATTCAAACTGCTGACTTTGGGGTTTGCAGCCTAATGTGTAACCACTACTCCACCAGAGAGCTCATATATCTGTGTAGCTATATCTGTATCTTCTATCGACAGTGGGGAATTTGTAACAAGACAAGGGTTCACACGGTTGTAGAAGCAGGCAAGTCCAAGTCCCACAGGCTGAGGGTCAGATTTCAGGCTGGCAGCATCTCCGGACTCCCACAATTGTGGGGGCTGGTGAACCCAAGATCAGCCGAGAGGTGATTGACTGGTGGCCACAGAGGCGAATGAACCTCAGGTCAGCAGGTCAGGCCTGTGACCTTTCCTCCACATCTCCCCTAGGAGGGTTTGAACCTCCAGCTGTTAGGCTCGTGTGCTCCCTTGGGGCCAGGGTACGAAATGGGGGCTTCATGGCCGAGACGCCGAGGACGGTGATGGGGCCCGCATTGGTGGCCGACCAGCTGAGATGCCCCTGCCCTGCTCTCAGGTGGCTGAGGCCATGGAGATCATGCTCATCGCTGTGGTGTCCCCGGTCATTCGCTGTGAGTGGAGACTGGAGAACTGGCAGGTGGCCCTGGTCACCACGGTGAGTGCTGCTGCTGGCCTGTCCCCTCCCCC